GACCACTGGTTTGCGACCCCTGGGACCTGTGAGAGTGTCCTCAGGGGGAGGGCGGGAAAGGAACCCCTCTGCAGGAGGCCAAGATGTGGGTAGTAAACAAGGGGCGTGTGCTCTATTTATGGTCTTCATAGAAAGCAGGTTTATTCCAGAGAGCAGGCTGGAGGGATGGTTTAGATGGCAAAGCAAAAAGTTAAATTGGAAAGAAGTTGAGGGTGATGAGGCAATTTAAAATAATTTAACCTAGAAAGTCTAAAAATTCACTCTTCTAAATTTATCTATGGGACTCTAGCCTAGGAAAACAATTAGACTAGGAAAAGGTAATGGAAGAACTTTAACTCTTTAGTCTACACACTTCTAAGAAATTCAAAGTTTCTATAATAAGCATGGGTTTTATACTTTTTAAATAAGATTTACAGTACTAAAAAGGGAAAAATCTACAAACCTCTATACAGAAAATATTCACACTGTATAATAACAAAACACATGAAATGACTTTAATGTCTAGCACTAGGGAAATGAGTAAGTAAGAAAGTTAGGATATAATTGTATCCTAGGAACTTCTGTAACAAATCAAATGTAATGAAATGTATATAACAACATGGAAAAAACGTCATCAGTTTAGTGAGGGGAAAGGCCAAAGTGTAATGTAGGCTATGATATATTATGTAGAAATATGTATTTTTAAAATCTACTGAAAAATAAACTATACACATCAAAAACCATAACCAGCATTGTGTTAGCATGCAAAGATTCAGATGGCTCTCTTCTCCACTTTCTAACAGTTCTATAAAAACAGCATGGCTTTGTTGCTGCTTTTATTTTTAACAGAAAAGAAAGATGCATGCCACAAAAGGAAAACAAAAATGATACAATAACAGACAAGCAGTCAGAATGGCAAAGGAGGGCTGGCCAAGCAGCCCCGATGCAGGCTCTGTGTGGACACTACAGAGGCACAGCGAAGTGGTCCAGGCACGCGTGCCAATCCTGGCTCATCACACCGCTCTGGACCAGTTATCTCACACAAAATGAGTGTCTGGGAATAGACAATCTCTAAAGTGCCTTCCAGGTTTAAAATCGTATGATTCGCGCTAGCCAGTTTGGCTCAGTGGATAGAGTGTCAGCCTGCGGACTAAAGGGTCCTGGGTTCGATTCCAGTTGACACATGCATGGGTTTCAGGCTCAATCCCCAATAGGGGGCATGCTGGAGGCAGCCGATCAATGATTCTCTCTCATCACTGATGTTTCTATCTCTCTCTTCCTTTCTCACATCAATAAAAGTATGTTTAAAATGAATAACTAACTAAATAATAAATAAAATCCTATGATTCTAAGTTGCAAAAACGAAGGAATCAGAGAACAGACAAGAGAAATTGGGAATTTCTCCAGTTTTCTTACATAATGTAAAATATAGGTGGGGGAGATATAACCTACATATTACATTTTAATGCTAACATCCGACAAAATGCTGTGTAGGTACTATGGACATTAGTGAAATATTACATGCCACCTCCAGTTTTAAAAGATGCTTATAAACTGGAAAGAAAACACATGGCTGTAAAGTGAAAATAACAATGTAAAACAAAAGCGTTTGGGGAAACCGTGAGGCCACAGGATCAGCTGCCCTATCAGCTCATCCCTTCCCTGGGAGATGGGAAGGGCAGATGTTGGAGTGGGGGTGAAGGGGTTCAAAGGCTAAGAGCTATGGACATCTATGGGGGTGGACAAGACTCGAGTTGGGCTTTTATAGAATGGGGACTGGGTTTCTTGTGGGGGTGATGAAAATGGTCATCAAAGGTAAATAAACCAAAATCACTGACATACCATTTTAAAGAGTGAATTTTATGGTATGTAAATTACATTTCCCTTCCTCTTCCTCCTCCTCCTCCTCCTTCTTCTTCTTTTTTTTTTTAATGTGGTCAGAGGTAACTAATTAGAACAGTGTAGAAAAACCCAAAGGTACACTGAGGAGAGTAATGAGGAGAAAAGGGGTGGGGGTGCAGGCAGCCTGACTCCCCTCTCTAATGAACATTCGTGTTAGCCTATAGTCTAGTCATTGCCCACTCCTTAATTATCTGGTCTTGCAAGACCTGTTTACCTAAACACTCCCATTTTACAAAGGCCATAAACCATGAACAATACACAACCCCTGGAGGGGTTATCAGTGCTGGCACCCGAGGAAGGTCGGAAGTCTGATCCATATACAGGGGACAGAGAAACAAAAAGATAAAAAGGAAGAGCTTCCTCCATATTGGTGTAATCAGGATTTGGAGAACTGACCCCTGAGTCACTGTACCAGTACATGTGAAACATCTGGAAATAAATGGCTTTTTCCTGTATCTCCGGGTACTCCTGCATATTTTTCAGTCGCCTGGTAAATTCTGTAACATTAGGGAAAGGTAATAGAAATGATCATCCATGAGACAGGAAGGGAAGCAAAGACTGATGGACCAATAGGTGAAAGATCCAGGCTTTGAGAATTATGTGCTTCCTCTGCTGGAAAAACAAGCCTCCAGTAGGCAGGGCCAGGTCCTTTTAGTCTGCTATGTGCCTGAGTGTCTCAGATACACTCATGCACTCATACCTGAGCGTGTGAGTGAATGAGCCTTTGACGGTTACTCTGGGTCTTGTGTGAAAAGAAGAATAAAGACTGGATAACTGTAAGTTTAACAAAATAAAAATTAGTGTAGGCCTGAACAATGTTGCTGCATACCAGGAACATTGGCACACAGGATTGAAAGATGGAAAGAAGCAGGAGACTTTCCAAGAGTCTTTGCTCTCTATCACATATATGAAATATATTTATTGGGTTTACATGCAAAAATGTTACATAAACTCTAGCTAAACAAACTAAATTCTACTTGTGTAAAAAGAGAGAGGGAAAAGAAGGGGGAAAATATAAGCGAGATAAGCAGAAGAGAAAGAAATGATGAGGTGGACACTGTCTCTTTAAGAAGCTCCTTGGAGATACATAACTGTAGAAAGCCTGGTGAATACAACATTGATTGGGAATGAGGTAACCACAAACACCGCTGTCTCAAATGAAAAGGGATTCAAGACCTGACCCAGAAAACAAGCATCGTAACCACCAGATAAAATTTTAATGATAAACACAAGATGCTCTACACACAAGCAAGATATGAAGTATCTGATGCGAGGCCATAAACGTAAGGCTCTCTTAGAAAGAGGAGCTATGAGGAGCCTCTCTGACCCACAGATCAAGTTTCATCTTATCGATCCACAAACTCTGCCATCGCTTTGCTTTGTGCTGTAGAATCGGCAATGTTGAGGGGCCTCCAGGGAACACAGAGGCAGGAAAAAGGACTGGCACCGGCCGGCCTTTGTGAGGTCCATGTCCAGATAAGAAATGCACAATTGGCTTTTGAAATTAAAGTCCCCTTTATTTCTAATTTCTTTTATGACTCTCTCGGTCCAATCTCCACATGCTGTCCTCAAAGGTCTCTGATACTAGGAGACCCCTTCAAGCGAGAAGGACAGAAGTCCCCTTGAGTTAACACGGGACCTAGAATTGGTGGGGGGAAAGAACCTTCTATATCAGGAGCTGTTGGGCCCACCCTTGAGCAGTGGGGGCAGAAGTCCAAAGCCGCACTGGATGAAGTCTAGACTCCTGATCCGTTAATCTTTCTAGAATAATCCTATATAATAAAAGGGTAATATGCAAATTGACCCTAATGGTGGAATGACCAGAACGACCACTGGACTGATCACTATGAGGCACACTGACCACCTTTCCCCAGCTGGCTGGCTCCGATCGCCCGATGGCAAATGGGGAACCGGGAGTGGGGGGAGAAAGGGGAGGGCAGGGCCTGCTGTGGGCCAGGCCTAGGGACCATACCGTGCATGAATTTCGTGCACCGGGCCTCTAGTAGTACTATAGTGCTCTGAGGAAGTCTACTGACCTCTAAATTGTGGCCAGAAAAACAAAAACTAAAGAAAAGTGTTCCTCTATGCTGGACACCTGAACTAATGCAAATCACATTGGATGTAAACTGTAATGGGGGAAAATGTTTTTAATTGCACTTACAAAAAAATTAAAATAAAATGAAACAAAACTAAAAAAACAAAATAAGGGTTCTCCATAGGTGTATCTTGTTTAAAGCAAAAAGTATTTTTCATAGGCATTGCATGCCACAAAATATTAAAATAATCTGACTGCAATTTCAATTCAAATGGTGCTTTTTAAGGAATGCTTCTTAAGGAGAGATTTTTCTTAAAAGAAAAACTTGACTACTACCAAGTTGTCAAGGCCAAGGTTTGTTTTTGTTTTCTGGCAGGTAGGCGCCTCTCTTGGGTGGCTCACGCCTAAGCCAATACAGACTGAGAAATTTCAATGCCCTGGTTTCTATAGCACTAAGTATACAATGTGAGAATCTAGTTCAAAATATCCTCATCCGAAAAAGAAAAGTGACCTTCTCATTATACATTAACGAAATGCATAAACACATCTCTGTAGTAAAATATGAAGAATTCATGAAAGTGGTTTTTAGAACAGAAGCCAAAGGAATCTACAGAAGCTAAAATTAAATTTCTTGGCCACAGAGACAAATAAAAAGCAAACAGGCGCTGTGTGGTGGGAAGGGAGACTGTGTGTGGCCACAGCCCTTCCTCAGTAATAAAAGCTTCAGAACAAGAGCACAAGAGCAGGACCTCTTTGTGCCAACACGTATTATTCTTGCTTGACTTTTTTATGTCTTCATAAAATACAAACTGTTTGCCTTAATGAAAATCTAACGTAACGTGCCACAAGAGTGGTTTTAAAGCTAGGAGAGACATATTGAGACAGATCTGCTCTGCACCATTCGCTTCTCACCACTGACTTCAGAGTTCTCCAATCCCGGAGAAGGGAGTCCTCCAAACATGAGCCATCTATACGAAAGCATGTGCGCCCCAGGGAAGACAATGTCACTGGGACTTGGAGGGGGTACATGAAAACCTAAAAGACCTTAAGATACAGTGTTAAGTGAAAAACTGTCCTAGCTTACCCAGCAATGACCACACCGTCATGAGAGTGCACGTCACATAAAACAGCATCAGGAATGTGTTCCAGCTCACTCACGGCTCCCTTGCGATTCTGCGTAAGGAAAAGGGTGTGCAGGGTTCGTTAGTCTGTGGATAGCAGACACAAAGCATGTCCCTTTCACCTACGCTCCCCCGTGAATTTTTACAGCATGTACTGTGTTCACAGTTATCTGGACATTCAAAAGGACCAAGATGACAGCCAGTACGTTAAGCTGTTAGCATTTACAACACACACACACACACATACACACACGAGCGCACGTGCGCGTGCATACACACAAAATAGAGGGGGTATGGGATACTGCCCCGTTATCCTCAAGGGGATATGAAGGAAATATGTGATCACAAATAACTATAATCCACAAAAGGCTGAATGTGGCAAATCTCAAGAAATTATATAAAGTGTATTAAAAAGTTCTGTTCAGAGGAAAGTATTTAAGGATATTTTACTTGTTAACAACACTTATAAACAACCTGCTTAATAAAATGAAAAAGTATACATAAAGAGAAAAAATCAGGATGGGGAAAAGGAAGAAAGACATTGTTCCTGATTGAGAGGTCAGCGGTTCATGGGAACAGTATTTAAAGGAATCCTTTAGACACATAACACTGGCTGCTCTAAGGAAGGAAGCAGGTGGTAGGTGAAGAGAGGTGTCTCTTTCACTGTATGTCCCTTTCTGACTTAAATTATTTGTACCAGGGCAATCATTATCAACCCAAATATACACATAATTATTTTTAAAATAAAAATAAAGGGAATTTAAAGGAATATAAAGTACTTACATGTGAGATGTTGGGAAGAGTAGAATAGTTAAGCCAAAAGTAAGCATGAATAAAGGTATTCAAGAGCATTCAAGTAACCATAATTTCAGCTTTGCTGTACTGGACCAAGGATAGAAATGGTGTGTATAAGTGCTAAGCACAGTTGTTAGCATACAGCAAATGTTCAATAAATGGTAGCTCTTACTACTACTTATATTATTAGGAGACAGCTGATGACATTCATTTCATTAAAAACATTTAAATGGCTATATTCCAGGCACTGTGTAAGATAACCTGCAGATGATGTCCTTTAAAGACCAAGTCCAAGGCTGAGCAACAAAACTAACACATCCAAGTAGAGCTGTCCTGCTAGTGGATACATGGAGATGGGAGAGAAGGACTTGAGTTTCATCTGTGTGGGGACCATAAGGAACAGCAAAGCTCTTTTGAGGGATGAGGTAGTAAAAGAAAAGGAGAGGGCCTGAGATCAAACCCTGTGTGCTGACGGCATGGACCTGCGCCCCACCCCACGGGCTGCAACCTCACACTGGTATTCTGGTCTTAGAGAAACCCTAGAGGCCCGAGTGAGAAGAATTACTGCAAAAACCAGAAGAGGAATACTACAGCCACCATAACCAGCTTATCAAATCATTTCCACGATGGTTCTCAATTACACATCCATGTAAGTTCATGCAGTTACTATGTAGAAATATCTGAGAACCTTGGGATCCGTTCTCAGGTTCCCCATGCACTGACCTAGGAGATACCAAATCAAATCACCTGCTCAACCTGGAATCAACCACGAATAGCACCAAAGCACAGGATCTCCGTGCAAAGGTCTGTGAGCTTCTCCAGCCCATGCTCACTGAGCACTGGGTGTGAGCCACGCTCTGCAGGAGCGTTACATACATCATTAGACAGTCCTCCTCCCACACCCTACGAGCAGGACTACTCCGAGCCCTACTTTAAAGAAAACAGAGGCACACAGAGGTAAAGCAACTTGTTCTAACACTACTTTTCATGTTTTGATAGGGCTTTCTTTCATTCTAGAATCACAATGAGAATCCCATCACTACAGCGAATATTTATCATTTGATATTTCACTAGTGTAGTCCTCACTGGTGCTATTGTCAAAAAAAATAGGTCCAAGACACTCCAAAGAGAAGCCTCCCTCACATGCTGCCTGCAGTTAAGAATCCAGTTCATCCAAACGACAACCATTTACTGAGCACTGACCAAATAGGGGCTTTGTGCTCGGACGAGAAAAACAATAGTGACGCTCAGTTAAGCTGCATGGAACTTGTGTACTGTTACTGAGTGCCAGGTGCTATGAGGTGGGTTTTTACTAGTAGATCTTCATTTCTGCCCCCTCTGGCCTGAATGGGAAGCTATACCTGCCTCGCCTCTTGCTTTTTCCAATACCAAAGAGGAAATGAAGAACGTGGCTGCTGCTTTCTCTCTCAGGGGCTGACACCTCTAAATGGGGGCCAGGCACACTGAGTAGCTGCAGCTCTCACACTCACACATCTCAAAAGTTTCCCTTCTGCCCAGACGGAGAGGTCCTAGTCAATGCCCAGCTCTCAAGCTTTCGTTAAATTACAGTGCCTCCTACCAGCGGTAGACCCTCTACTTTCTGCCCGCCCCAACCCCCATGCCTGTCTCAGCAGCTCTGTCTCTCATGCATGTCTCTCACAGACCTCACTCAAGCACACAGGCAGGAGGACTGCGGGTCCCTCCACATGAGTTTATCATCTGGTGAGGAAGCAGACCGCGGGCCAGTATGGTTCTTATTGAGTAGCGGTGTCTTCGTGGCCTAAGAAAGGAAAGCTATGCTAACTCTCCTTAGAGAGGTGGTTCTCAACCAGGAGCGGTTTTGCCTCCTGGGGACATGTGAAGATAGCTGAAGACATTTTTGGTTGTCACAGCTGGGGAGAAAGAGAAATGCTACTGGGCATCTACCAGGCAGAGACTACAGGTGCTGGTCAACATCCTACAGCGACAAGACAGCCCTCACCACAAGAACCATCCAGCCCAGTGTCACCAGTGCTGGGTGGAGAAGCCCTGACTCAGAGAACCACTGCTCTTATTCACTTGGCTAGAAATGTCTGAAGCTGCCCAGATCAAGAGCATCGGTCACTAATCAGGTTATGAGGTGACTGGGGACAGGCATGCACACAGGCAATATGTCACCATCAGGAATGAGCAAAGGCTTGTTAATTTCAGAGTCCATTAGGATTGACCTTTAAGGGAGAGGAAGGGGCATGGTTCTGTCCCCTCCATACGACCAACTTCCCAGCTACCCAGGTGGGAAGAGACAGCCACCACATGGCTATCTCATCGTGCCGCAAGCAGCTTTGGGCAACACTGCTCTTGACAGTTATTCCTCAGAAACGCTTCCCTCTGAACATTCTGAGCTGTGATCTAATATTTCTGCAGAGATTCTGAAGTGATAAATGCGATGGAAGTGAGCCAGTAGGTTATGTGAGGGAAGAGAAGACAGTGCTTAGAGACGTTGAATAATCTCCTCTTACATTTCCTGGAAATAGCTCCTCTTTTGTATTCAGGCGCTGCCTTTGCCTTCTTGGTCCTTCCAGAGAGATGGGGAATGTGAAGGGGGCTGCACTGAGCATTACACCCAGCACCCTACCCGGCTCTCTCTCACCCTTCCAGTCCTGGAAACAGGATGCTCCCAAACAGTGTGGCTGGAAATGGGGGCAGAGATTCTAGTGGCGAATAAAATGGGAAACAAGTCCCCAATAGCAGAAGATGCGTTCACCATCATTCTCTCTCTGCTTCTGGCAGTTAATGCAGGCTGTAATTAGAAGGACTTGGTGATTAATCCCAGGCTTGGGTTCCCAGTCCTTGTTAGCTATTCTTCTACAGGTAATATTGGCCACCGCCTACCTTCCAGTTGGTTCTTAACATGTGCTCCTTGGCTCGGCACTCCTTGAAGATGAGCTTCCAGCAAGAATAATCGGAGATGCTGCTCTCGGGAAGGTGCCCTTCCTGCTGGCACAGCCGGTACCAGAGCACTTCATCCTCTGCAATCACCTTCCACGTCTTGCTCACCTAAAGCAGCAGAAGTGACACAAATGTCAAACCCTGCAATTAGAGAAGCCCTTTGTCATCCAAAAATCAATCAACACCTTTATTATTGCCCTGGGTTTATGGCAGTATAAAATGTCTCATTAACAAAACACTCCGAGGTGGGGAAAAAAACCAACAACACAAAAAAACAAGCAAATGTTTCCAGTTTTATCTTTCAAGATTTCAAAATTGTATTATCACCCAATATCACATTTTAGACTGCCTAAAGTATTATATAAGAGGAAAAATACATAAAAGACAAAAACTACACGCTGTTACCATGTTAATAGATGTACAACCACACACAGTTTTTCAGAACAGAATCGCTTTATTTTTTACCAATAGGCACTTGTATTTTCGCCTAATAGAGCCGGAGACCGATGGCCTCTGAGGTGTAAGCAGTAATAAAATAAATATCCATAACTCCAAACTTCTGCTCCTCTGAGAATTTCAAATTTATGTTATGTGTGAAAACTTAAGATTTTAAATGTGTACCTTAAAAAATATTTAACAGAAAACTCAAGCTGTTAACCAGGACTGTACGATCTGATAGAGAGAAATTAATGTTATGTCTGGACTGAATTTCAAATCCCAACAGTGTCCAGAGGAAATGGCCGTTTTAGCTATTAGTGCTCTGCCTTCCAACCCCAACTGAAGGGAACGATGAATTTATTTCACCCCCAGATAATGCACGAAGTGGGGCCAGGCTACAAAAGGTGAACTCCACTGGCAAGTCGAGAAACGGATCCAGTGGCTAACGTAATCCTCGGTCTGCTAGACATCCTGCTTATAGCCCATCTCACTCACTTCTAGTCAAGTAAGAACTGTGACCAGTGGTTTACAGTAACCTGTGCTCCTTACCACTCCCGTGGGGCCATTTCAAGACATCAAATCCCCAGCCAAGAGGAAAGGACATGAGACAGAATGAGGGAGCACGCAGGTGGGGCATGGCACCCACACTGCGCAAGGAGGCCTCGCTCAGTGAAGAAATGGTAGGGAGTTAACTGTTGGAATTGCAGAATAAAGATTTCCGAAAATCTGCTCCCCCGTAAAAGGAAAATGCTGCCAAAAAGTGTCAAAATCAAGTTTTTCATTACTCTGGAAATTAACTGAAGGCTGCAACATTTTGAGAAGCATTTATTCAGGAAAATGGCTGAATGTTGGTAAGAAGTGTAACTTCTGTTTTGTTTTACTTTATGCTAATCTCATCCTCCTCCTTCAGCTCCATGGTAGTGTTGAAAACTAACAGCCTTGCAACTAGAGTAGCTGTAAAAACCAGCAGCTTTGCAGCCACTGGAAGGGCCAGATGGAGTTACAGGTCCTCAAAGGTGCCACCCCCCAGAGAACTGTCACCATCTGACCTGTAGCAGCTAGCTTAAAGCTCTATTCTGAAGGACTGCCTTTTTCCAACCTGACTCAGAGCACTCTATCCTATCTCCAGGGCATTTGTCAAAAACAGTACGGGACAACTGTTGAACACTGCAGCTGCCTATGGCAGAATTAACACGGATCACTTACAAACTCGTCTAAAAAATAGAAGGAACAGTTCCCAACTTATTCTAGGAGGCCAGTATTACCCTGATACCAAAACCAGACAAACACAAGAAATCTATAAACCAATATTCCTTATGAATATACACAAAAATCTTCAAAAAATACTAGCAAACTGAATCTAGCAACATATGAAAAGGACTGTATGCCATGACTAAATGGAATCTCTCCCAGCATGCAAGGTTGGTTTAACATATAAAAATCAATGCAATATATCATACTACTAGAATAAAAGACATAAGCCACATGAAATTCTCATAAATTTTTCTTTAAAACTATTAAAAATTTAAAAACCCGTAAGGGAGTTCTTTACATCCAAAATGAATCTGCACTGCACCAAAAAAATTCATAGCATGGCAAAGTTCCTTTACATAATAACTTCCCCAAGGAGACATAAAGTGATAGGGATATATATGTACATATTTTTTATAACATTTTCAGAAACATGTTTTGATGCTTGCCTCCATTATCCAAGAAGCAGCATGATATAATAGGAAACTAGTTACAATTAGGGAGGGAAACCCAGATTCTAGTGCCAGGTCTTTCACTAACTAGCTGTGCAATGAGAAAGTTACTAGTCTTTCCTGTACCTCTTTTCTCCACCTTGAAACAGAAGGGGAGGTATCAGACCCTAAAATGCCCCTTACAGCACTAAATTCTATGACCAAGGACCTTCATTTCCTCATCTTTAAAATGTGAATAATCATACACCATCACCAACAGAACTGTTGTGGATCTCAATAAAAGAGCTCACAGAAAAGTACTCTATAAATATAATTCTTTCTACATATGATGTATACTAGGTCATGACCGAGAGCACTTCAGATCCCACACAAATACCTTATTATGAAAGTGTGCTGCTCCAAATATTACTTTAAATAAGGAAGCCATTAGCTTCTTCGTATTTTTAGTAAAGAACTTTCATTAGATCCATAGGGGTTTCTACTTGCTCCGTGGCAGCAAAAGCTAAAACTTACAAAGTGAAAGTTAATCAGAAACCAAGAACTCAGTTTGTCTGTCTCAAAATTTCTGATTTTCCATCACAAGCAAACTACATTAAAAAGAATCAATATTACAATACCTTATTCAACAAAAAGTACGTCAGAGCAATATTGATCAACAGGGCACTCTTAATTTTATATTTTGTTCATTCAGTTCTGGCTTTCTTAATTACGTTTCTGCAGTACATGAGAGCATGCAAGTTCTAGGTGTGATGGTCACATCACGTAAGTCACCTTCTCTGTAGGTGTGGACATTGTGCATGCAATTCGCAGTATCAGATGTTAGACCAAGTAGCATAAAGAAGTGCAAAGCTTCTGTCATTTTTCTCAACCAAAGAGTCACACTATAATGCTGAAGGTGTCACACTGGCTCAAGTCTTCAATGGTTTAAGAGCTGAAAAAGTACCAGGAGTCTTAGAAATCAACTAGGCACATCTCCCCATTACAGGAAGGCTCCTCACAGCACCCCTAGCCAGCAGAAGGCTTTTGGTGAAGAGCTGACCTCCCCAATCAGTCTGATTCACTGCCCAGCAACTCTATTAAAAAGTACTTCCTTCCATGAAAGGAAGGTAGAGGGAGAAATAAGAGAGAAATATCAATGATGAGAGAGAATCACTGACCGGCTGCCTCCTGCACACCCCCTCTTAGGGATTGAGCCCACAACCTGGACATGTGCCCTTGACTGGAATCGAACATAGGACCCTTCAATCCACAGGCCAAAGCTCTATCCATCAAGCCAAACCAGCTAGGTAGGGCCTTCAGAGTCTTTTAAAACGCAAATTGTAGTTAAAGAAAAATGTCCACATGTCTTACTTCCACGATATTTATTTTATTTTGTTAATCCTCACCTGAGGATATTTTTCCAGTGACTTTTAGAGAAAGCAGAAGGGGAAGGGAAAGACAGAAACACTGATGTGAGAGACACACATTGACTAGTTGTCTCCCATACGCACCCTGACCGGGGCTGAGATTGAGCTTGCAGCCCAGGTTCATGCCTTGACCAGAACCAAATCTGGAACTCATCAGTCCACAGGCTGACGCTCTATCCACTGAGCCAAATAGGCTAGAATTCCACAATATTTTTAAAATGTAAAGTATTAGTTTAATAAACTTTCTATCCATTTTAAATCTCAGCTCATTGCATACAACCCCCCACCCAGCATTTCTATCATCTTTGCATCTCAATTCTGTCATCCTTTGCATTAGCTACTTCTCCCATACATAGATCATCTGCAAAAGACAGTCTGTGGGACTTCATGTCTTAATTATTTAAAAAAAGTTAACCAGGATGGGACTGAGGACAGAGCCTGTGGCAAACCACTGTAGCACTCCCCCCAGGCAGACATGGGTCCATTAATCAGCCACCCTGGGTCTGGCCACAGCATCAGTTACAAATCCACTTAACCACCCTGTCATCCCACACTTCTCCATCCTCGCCGTAACGGCGTCAGGGAAACAAACCCGCATCTGATCACAAGTGACCAGGCAATGGAGAGCAGGATAATAACTCAATAACACTGGAGTTCCAGTTTTCACTAGACAGAACACCACGGCTTTATTTTTGGCATGTTTGGTCCACAGCTGAGCCTGTCCATGACACTGGGTGGTGTCTGTCCATCTGTCTGTGCCAGAGTGAGTCTCAGCACTGGCAATCACGAGGCGCAGAGACAAACCAACATCAGCTGTCTATGGTGGAGCCCGGCCACTTCGCAGAGAGCTGCAGAGCAGAATCCTTCCCCAACAGGCCCCTGGAATTCAGGGTCCCATACGTATAAAGGCCAGCATTCAGAGACCCTCCTGGGTTCTCAACGGGAGACTGTGCTAACCAACCACAGGGCAGTTCATTCTCATATTCGGAGTACATAAGCCTGTTTTGTAAAAATTACAAAATATAAAATTAAGTAAATTACGAAATGTAACTATTGGACAAAAGATTCGGAGTTGCTAAGAGATCGCATAAATGTCAGTCATGATTTCATTACACAGACCGGCATTTTCCAAAGCACGTTCAGCACAACAGCAGCTCCTCGGGTGTTAATATGTTACTTTCATGCACAGACATGTGTTACATATCTCTAAGGAGATGGAAGAAGCTGCAATCCCAAAACTTACTCGGTTCCTGAACACTTCTTATAAGGAGCATTTCAGAAGCCTAGAGCTCCTTAGAAGACACTTTAAAAAAAAACACAGTGAAATGGGTTTTTGGTCCATCAATTAAGATGTGTTGGATGCTAACTACATGCTAGACACTAAGACTAGCAATTCTCATCCACTTTCCACCTCAACCTGCCAAACTGATACCTTTCTACCAGTGACTCCCCATGAACCAGAGGGAAAGCTTTTGGTGTCTGCCCAGAGTCAGGTTGTATCACAAGACTGGGCCCACGTAGGGGCAATCTTTGTAATTCTGTAGTCCAAAAATTAGCTACA